CATCCCAGTCCCCATCCCTATCTTGGTGCTTTTCCCAACCCAATCCCATCCCATCCCACCCCAGTCCCCATCCCTATCTTGGTGCTTTTCCCAACCCAATTCCATCCCATCCCACCCCAGTCCCCATCCCCATCTTGGTGCTTCATCCCATCCCAGTCCTCATCCCTATCTTGGTGCTTCTCCCCATCCCATCCCATCCCAGTCCCCATCCCAGTCCCCATCCCAGTCCCCATCCCAGTCCCCTTCCCATCCCATCCCATCCCATCCCATCCCATCCCATCCCATCCCATCCCTATCTTGGTGCTTCTCCCCATCCCATCCTATCCTATCCTTGTCCCCATCCCTGTCTTGGATCCCTTGTCTTCAGCCCTGTCCTTGTCCTCATCCCATCCCCTTCTTCATCACTGTCCCTGTCCCCAGCCTGTTCCCCTCCCAATCCCCATCCCATTTCCATCCTTGTCCCCATCCCATTTCCATCCTTGTCCCCATCCCATTTCCATCCTCGTCCCATCCCTGTCCTGTCTCAATCCCCATCTCATCTCCATCACTGTCCCTGTCCTCATCCCTATCCTGTCCCGTCTCCTATCCCCATCTGTGTCCTTTGTCCCCAACCATCCCTGTTCCAATCCCCTGTTTCATTCTTGTCCCCGTCCATCCCATCCTGTCCCAATCTCCATCCCTCACCTTGTCCCCATCCCCATCCTTGTCCCTTGTCCCCTGCTCCAGCTCCCAGGATCTGCCTCACCTTCAGTTTGTCCCTGTTGGTCCTCCGTCGGCTCTTTGCCTTGTCCCCCATGGCCGCGTAGAATTTGCTCCACCAGTCGTCCTCATCATCTTCTTCCTCCTCCTCTTCCTCCTCCACCTGGTGGGGAGCAGGATAAGGTGGGGACCAGTGGCATGAGTGGCCCTGGTGGCCCCCAGTGACCCCGTTTCCATGCCCACCTTGTCCGCAGCCCCCTTGGTGGTGGTGATCCTGGGCAGTATCTGCAGGGAGCAAAGGGGACCACTTGGGGAAACTGAGGCACGGGGTTGGGGACCCCAGTGACCGGTGGTGCCGAAGTTGGGTGACGGGTGGTGGAGACGTGGGGGACTCACCTGAGCTATCCTGCCCCAATGAGCGGCTGTGGGGAGGAGAGGGGCAAAGAAACCACCCCGGAGGTGGGCGGTGTGGGGCAGGGAGGGGGTCCTGCCTGTAGGAGAGAGAGATGAGGCAGGAATGGGGCAGGGGGTACCGGGGATGATACAGGGATGGGGCAGGGGGTACTGGGATGGGGCAGGGGGTACTGGGGATGACAGGGGGTTACCAGGGATGAGGCATGGGGCACCAGGGATGGGGCAGAGATGGGGTGGGGGTACTGGGGATGGTGGGGGTACTGGGGATGATGCGGGAGCACCAGGGATGGGGCAGGGGGTACCAGGGATGGGGCAGGGGG